GCCTAAAGACGAAGGGGCGGGGCCTAAACACGAAAGGATGGGACTTAATTAATAAGGGCGGGCTCTATAAAGGAAAGGCGCGGAACGGAAAAGAGGAAGAGGTTGGGGTGTAATCAGGAAGAGGTGGGGTGTAATCAGGAGAGGTGGGGTGTAATCAGGAAGAGGTGGGGGTGTAATCAGGAAGAGGTGGGGGTGTAATCAGGAAGAGGTGGGGGTGTAATCAGGAGAGGTGGGGTGTAATCAGGAAGAGGTGGGGGTGTAATCAGGAGAGGTGGGGTGTAATCAGGAAGAGGTGGGGGTGTAATCAGGAAGAGGTGGGGGTGTAATCAGGAAGAGGTGGGGGTGTAATCAGGAGAGGTGGGGGTGTAATCAGGAAGAGGTGGGGGTGTAATCAGGAGAGGTGGGGTGTAATCAGGAAGAGGTGGGGTGTAATCAGGAAGAGGTGGGGTGTAATCAGGAAGAGGTGGGGGTGTAATCAGGAGAGGTGGGGTGTAATCAGGAAGAGGTGGGGGTGTAGTCAGGAAGAGGTGGGGGTGTAATCAGGAAGAGGTGGGGGTGTAATCAGGAAGAGGTGGGGGTGTAATCAGGAAGAGGTGGGGGTGTAATCAGGAAGAGGTGGGGTGTAATCAGGAAGAGGTGGGGGTGTAATCAGGAAGAGGTGGGGGTGTAATCAGGAGAGGTGGGGTGTAATCATGAAGAGGTGGGGGTGTAATCAGGAAGAGGTGGGGTGTAATCAGGAAGAGGTGGGGGTGTAATCAGGAAGAGGTGGGGGTGTAATCAGGAAGAGAAGGCGGTGTAATCAGGAAGAGGTGGGGGTGTAATCAGGAGAGGTGGGGTGTAATCATGAAGAGGTGGGGGTGTAATCAGGAAGAGGTGGGGGTGTAATCAGGAAGAGGTGGGGGTGTAATCAGGAAGAGAAAGCAGTGTAATCAGGAAGAGGTGGGGGTGTAATCAGGAGAGGTGGGGTGTAATCATGAAGAGGTGGGGGTGTAATCAGGAAGAGGTGGGGGTGTAATCAGGAAGAGGTGGGGTGTAATCAGGAAGAGGTGGGGGTGTAATCAGGAAGAGGTGGGGTGTAATCATGAAGAGAAGGCGGTGTAATCAGGAAGAGGTGGGGGTGTAATCAGGAAGAGGTGGGGGTGTAATCAGGAAGAGGTGGGGGTGTAATCAGGAAGAGGTAGGGGTGTAATCAGGAAGAGGTAGGGGTGTTATCAGGAAGAGGTGGGGGTGTAATCAGGAAGAGGTGGGGGTGTAATCAGGAAGAGGTGGGGGTGTAATCAGGAAGAGGTGGGGGTGTAATCAGGAAGAGGTGGGGTGTAATCAGGAAGAGGTGGGGGTGTAATCAGGAAGAGGTGGGGGTGTAATCAGGAAGAGGTGGGGATGTAATCAGGAAGAGGTGGGGGTGTAATCAGGAAGAGGTGAGTGTGTAATCAGGAAGAGGTGGGGGTGTAATCAGGAAGAGGTAGGGGTGTAATCCTGAAGAGGTGGGGGTGTAATCAGGAAAAGGTGAGGCCTAAGAAAAAAGGGGGCAGTGTATAAAAAAGGTCAGGATCTAAAGAGGTAGCACTTCCCTGTTGAGTTAAAGTAACAGAATTGTAGAATCGGATACGTTCAACAGGCAAGCGTGTCTTTAGTGCAGCAGATGGCGGCGACAGGTCAACTAATAACAATTAAACTGTCCCTCAAGTAAAAATACAGACTGGCAACACTCTTGCCCGGACACAAGAGCTGCCTCAACATGGAATGAGCTCCCAGTCACACCTAACCCATGCTGCCAGTATAAACTTATTGAAATATTTATTTAAAATACACACTGGCGCAACATTTGCAGCTGTTACAGCTCCAGTACATTCTGCACGAGCAGGTGGCGTGCACCGCTTAATTATTTACGTATTTATTGATGCGGTTGACTGGGTGTGATATTCAGTGTACAAATGTATAATAGATTTTCAGCATTTTAACACTGCGCATGTCATTGCATGTTTGCTGTCTATGTGTCGATCGCATCTTGAACACCTTTACATACGAGATGTTTCAGCTCAAGCGATTTTCCAGGTGAAAAATTCGAATAAATAAAACATCACGTCAGGTGGCTGGGTTCATAGTGCGGTGTGCTAACCACTGCGCCACCGCTCTGCAGTTCCGGATTATCCAAGTAGCAAAGTCGCTACACACGCTACGGGCCCCGCACTTTCAAGGCCCCCCCCCTAAATGCTTTCAAGCTATCAATTCCGGTTCAGTGATTATGCACTTGCTCTATTACCATAGTAATATACTGTCTTCAACTTTTATGAACGACTGGGTGTTTAAGGTTAGCAATTTGTCGTATTATCTGGCTGCATATCAAATTAAAAAAATAATTTACTTTACTATGCAAGTAAAAAACGTGTGTTTTTATATTATATATTTTTTATTTATGGCCCCTTAATAACACATGCTACAGGCACCACAATAGCTTAATCTGGCATTGCCGCTCTGCACCGTGGACCTAAGCGAATCATAGCGTCCACAGATACTCTCTGCGAATATTTCAGTGATTTATACAAATCGGCTGCCATTTCAACTTTAGAGAGCAGGGTACAAATGCTCTCCGATGCTATCCCGGGCGGTTCCCCGCATTGCTCAGCTGATGCCCGGTGTTTTGCTCCATGTGCCGGGCTGACGAAGCTCCGCTTTGTGAAATATAAATCACCTTTATTGTTTGCTTTCTACACAATGTAAATTTCGCACTCGGTACGAAAGTCAATTTAAAGGGCCTAATTTACACACAAGTCAATGTTCCTTTTTTTTGTATATCCATACAAAGTTTTATGCCAATAAATGTGCTCCCGTCTCCCCTGTGAGACATTAGCGGCGTGAACTGCCAAGATGTTGCGCTTGAGCCGTTTAATCACCGCACTCTGCATCTCAATGCAAGCACCAGACGCTCCCCGTGCCACTTCCTGCTCAAACAAGCAACTGGGTGACAGCCATCTCTGCCGGTGGCCCGAATCCAAAGCGAAAGCGCCAAACATTCCCCCAGAATCTCCATGGGGTGACAAACTGTTGACGTGTCACGATGTGGTTACTCATTTTATAAACCCACGGAGTGATGAAAGGCCGAGTCAATCCGCAACTGGGATTTGTGCTCGCAGCCTCCTGATTGGACGTTGGCACTGCGCGCGTACCATATGCACGAAATATACAACGTAACGATTAAATAATTTCCGTCATAGGCTTGAAGCTGTCCGTATCCAAATGATGTTCTCTTTAGCGTGCCCCGGAAAAAATACGTTTGAACAATTCATGAGGCAAAGTGATGATTGTTTTGATCAGTAATGACCAGTGTCGAGCAAACAGGACAATGGACACCACTACATTTTAATTCGCCACAAGCACAAAACCGTTGCTCTTCACTCGAACAATACGAACAACGCCTTTTGTTTCGTCCACGGTACAACAGGGTATCGTATGTAACCATTTGTCACGTGAAAAAGTTTCAGATTATGGCTCAAACTTCACGTAAAAAAGATCGGCTGGGGAGTGGAAAAAGAAGCAGCACACTCAAACTTTCTCCCAACACGTCTCAGCTTGGCAGTCTGTGATGCACACAGGTGGCAAGGCTTCGCACTCATCTTTGCTGCAATTTTCTTAGCTTCATGCCCAGTGCGACCTTAATGGCATGGTCGGCAAGATTACGAGTTGTCATAAGTGTTATGTGTCCAGACATTCCCTCCAGCCATGTGATTGTAGAAGACCAATCGGGTCCAGCCCCCCCACCCCCCGTGATATGACCTGGCTGACCACAAATAACACAGGGGGTGGATCCAAATGTAAAATTTCGGTCATCATTAACGTGCCAGTTTACTGATGCCAATTAAACACATTTTCAGATTCATTTTCAACGAATGATGCATTAATTCTGACACGTATTTTTTTTATTTTTATGTAAATTTCTTCATGCAATCGCAGTGTAGCTCTTCCATTCTTATACTATTGTGGTGGCCTCCAGGGGGCCACCGCGGTGTTGAGACAGTGCCGTGTGAGGGGTGGTACTGCAAGGGCGGAGCCCGGGTGTCGCTGAGAAGGGGGTCACGTCAGGACGTGACAGCGAGGTGAACCCGGGAGGACACGTGACCGGACGAGGGGGGGGGGCCCCAGTCGGGGGTGAGAGGATCATGTGATGGGGATCCTGCGTCCCCACGAGGGTTCTGGAAGGGGGGCGTGGCCAAGGGCGGAGCCAGCCACGCCAGGGGAGTTATAAGCGGGGTCCTGAGAGGGATCGCGGCGCTCAACTCTGGGAATGAAGTCGCCATCCTCGGTCTCCACGTGTGGACCAGGCAGCCCGCTAGCTGTCCGGGTCCGACAATAGAATTGTCTCTCCGAGTGTCAGTTAGTTAGCCGCGGTGGTCACCACCCTGTACTGTTATCCTGTTAGAGTTACCCGTTGCGTTAAATAAACGTGTTGCCTCCAAGTACAAGTGTGCGTCTAAGTTAACACACTACACTATTAATCATCTTTAACAGCTCAGGCGAAGCAGTTAACTGTTAATACTTTCGTGTTTGCATTGCTCTTGTACAGTTCTCCTTTTGGGATCCTTTGGTCTACAGCACTGGTGAGACAAGGCCTAAAGGAGGCTTGTCTCTGGTGTAGGGGCAATCAGTTTCAAGGACAATGCATAGATTATCAAAGCATATTTGTTTTTAACGTTTTACCGCAATCATGCGTGGTTAATGCAGACGTGATGCCTTGCAATAGGTGTGTGTCTGTCTGGTGTTTCAACATCTGTGTTATTACCAGAAATGGTAAAGCCTTTTATTTCTTTTTAAATTGGCTAAATTGTGAAAACTTCAAATACGGAATGCAATGTGCTCAACAGTTTCTGCAATGCTCTATCAAAAAGATGTTGGATTACGTCACAAATTAAAAACAAACCGAATTTGTACATTGTAATTTCCAGTTTAACAACAAAAAGGGCTGCCGGGTGATTTCGAGTTGTGTTGCTGTACGCATCCCGTACCTTTGCCATGTGACACTTCCACAGTCCACGTGCAGTTCAGGGAATTGGGATAGAAGTTGGGGAACCTCGGTGACAGAATGGTTCCCGTCGATGCCTTTATATATCCTCCGCACAGGGCTAAAGCGAGGGAGAGAGGGAAGGGCATCAACGGCATTAGCCACAAATCGCAACAATGTTAAGATTACATCTTTGTGTACCCGGTAATTGCATACACACGAATGCACGCACGCATGCAGAACGACGTGTGATAGTGAATAAAATGTAAGAAAATTATTGTTTCCCGGATTAAGCAATTGCTCAATACGATGAAAGCAAAAAAAAATTCTTAGCATTGAAACGCCTCAACTCTTTATTGGACATCTTTGACGAAGAACTTCATAGCTCATCGGATTTCTCCAGGATAAATAACGATTCTGATTCTGACATAGCAAATATGCTGCTAACCTAAAACCGCTTAATCCACAAAGAGGTGATTAAACAATGCACAACCTTAAATTGCTAATAAATTACAGTGGCAATGAGCGGTGGCGATGGGTAAAGAGCTGTCCTCCTGAGCCAAGTACAAGTGTCATCCACAACGTTCTGACCCCGTTCCCCTACTGGACATCTGTGGGAAAGAACTTTATAGCTCATCAGATTCCTCCTGCAGTACAAATATATATTCTGATTCTGTAAGAAAAAAAATCATTCTGATAACTGTTCAAGGTTTGCACTTAAAAATGTCCTTACAATTCAATTGCTTGGCAAATGTAAAACTACACCAACTACTTTCTCACGAAAATTATTCATTAAAGACGCTGATAGTACAACCACATATGATCAAGTAAACACATTGACGCACTGTCTGGAAATAACGGTGCTGCAATTAATAGAGCAGCTGCATTCACGACAATACGGTCAAATGTCGAGTCTACGGTCCTCAGCAGGAGTCACTGAAGAATAGATTAATGGTGTAATAATTATATTGACAGCCTACATATAATGCATCACAATCACACACAGCTGCTGCTGCTGCTGCTGCTGTGACTCCCGGTCTTTTCAACTCAAGAGAGAAAAGATTGGCGGTTAAAGTCATTACCAGGCACTTTTAATTTTAGCCATTGGTCGTACAAAGGGCTTGAGAAAGACGACATCTCGTCGAAGACAGCCAAACACCCACGTCACGTGGCGCAATTTTTCCCCCTCCGAAAATGTTCCCGAGCCAATGCAGACGTTCACTCGTCGTGCCTTTTCTTTTAGTGGCTGGGAATTATTGCCTCGAGGCCGACCTGCCAGCGGGCCTAATGCTAATAACTAAAAAACACACATTTGAGTAGCGTAGTGTTAAGCAACGGCACAATGCCAAAGAGCAATCGTTCGTCGGGGCACGCAGCACAAACGGGGGGGGGGACATTTTACAACAAAATTGCATTCAACGGCAAAAAAAACGTGAGCAAATATAAGGGCAACGAGTGATATAATATTAATTATTCAGGAATAGAAGGCGATATGATGCAGCGTCATATTTTGTCAAAATTACATAACTTCCTGTGTACACAGCACCGCGATGTCAAGAGCGCACTCTTAATAACGAAACGCGAGGTGACAAAAAAACACCTACACCACGCCACACACACACACACAGATATATACGTATGCATCTATATATATACACACATACGGTACACTTATAGGGCGCATCATCATCATCGGTTGGATATATCCAGGATGTTGCAGCTCTGACAACTTCCCGGAAACCCATCCTGGAATTAGAGCTGCCGCTCCCCGTCATTTGCAGTCCACCTGCGATGTTATTCTGCCAACATGATTTTGGTCTCCCTCTGACCTGGTTGCTTTTTTTTGTGTCTGCCGATTTCTATTTGCTTCTACTCTGTGCTGTTATTATTTATTAGGTTTTTTTTAGCTTCAATCATTTTCGGTGACCCAAAATGAGACTCCTATCCTGGTCTTTCTGAGGTTGTTTTTCTTTCCCCCCGCCTGGTCTCACACGCACCAAAAAATAATACCCAAAACTCGAATCGTAGCTATTTTTCCCACGCGTTTTCTCTCCAAACCGTTTCGTCAATTGACGCGACTGAAATGCACCAAATTCTGTCTGCGCAAGTTCACGCAGGCAGTTCTGCTTCCGCATTTAGTGCCCTACAATAATCGGTGACTTGGATGTGATCCGCCACGCTTCACATCCGTTGGTAATGATGCAGCTCCAAAAACAATAGCAGAGCGCTTCGGCATTTCCCACTGGACAGCCAAACAGCGCTGGTGTGCAGCATCACCATCGCAGGTCGGCAGCTGCTGTGTCCACTGGTGGTTGTCCTGGCAGGTCAGGGGAAGGTCGTGGCTGAGTGAAAATCCTGGCTCGCAGGAGAATTCCACGGACGAGCCGATGGAAAAATCGCCACCCAGTCGCCGGCCGTGCACCGGAACGGGCAGATCGGGGCAGGAGTGCGCGTCCCACGTCACCCCTAGAATGTGGACACACGTACAAAAGACAAGGGCCCCCCCCCCGTGTAGCCTTAACAGACAGCTGGAGCAAGTACTGTTAGCGAGTAGCACCTCTGAAGAACGGCAGGGCACACGAGAGGATGGTTGGCCAGCACCACGCCCGGCCGCCTTTGTCTCTCTAGTGGCGATGTTTACACATTGTAGCGGGTACTCATTTGAGGCCGAGTCGAACAAAGGGGGGGCCCAGCACCGATTCAGATAATCGTCATTGGGCGTCAGCGGGAATCGAACTTGGGTTGCTGGGCTTAGTAGCGCAGCGCGCTAACCGTTGCACTCCCGCTCCCCATACACGCAACACGGGTACACAACGTGCACGCAACACGGGTACACAACGTGCACGCAACAGGGGTACACAACGTGCACGCAACACGGGTACACACGTGCACGCAACAGGGTACACAACGCGCACGCAACACGGGTACACAACGCGCACGCAACACGGGTACACAACGTGCACGCAACACGGGTACACAACGTGCACGCAACAGGGGTACACAACGTGCATGCAACAGGGGTACACAACGTGCACGCAACACGGGTACACAACGCGCACGCAACACGGGTACACAACGTGCACGCAACACGGGTACACAACGTGCACGCAACAGGGGTACACAACGTGCATGCAACACGGGTACACAGGTGCACGCAACATGGGTACACACGTGCACGCAACACGGGTACACAACGTGCACGCAACAGGGGTACACAACGCGCACGCAACAGGGGTACACAACGCGCACGCAACAGGGGTACACAACGCGCACGCAACACGGGTACACAACGTGCACGCAACACGGGTACACAACGCGCACGCAACACGGGTACACAACGTGCACGCAACACGGGTACACAACGTGCACGCAACACGGGTACACAACGTGTCGGAGCTCACAGCGTGTGCGACGTTGACAAAGGGGTAACACAAACTAATTACGCGGCGGGTGGGGGGGGTGCGGAAACTTTTTGAGTGACAATACAAATCGGTTTTCTAAGCATTGCAGAACATTAAATCGATACACACTCACTGCATGGTAACACTGTGTGTGTGTGTCACACTCGCTGTGTGAGTCACACTCACTGCATGGCAACACTCTGTGTGTGTCACACTCACTGCATGGCAACACTCTGTGTGTGTCACACTCACTGCATGGCAACACTCTGTGTGTGTCACACTCACTGCATGGCAACACTGTGTGTGTGTGTCACACTCGCTGTGTGTGTCACACTCACTGCATGGCAACACTCTGTGTGTGTCACACTCACTGCATGGTAACACTCTGTGTCACACTGCATGGCAACACTCTGTGTCACACTGCATGGCAACACTCTGTGTGTGTCACACTCACTGCATGGCAACACTCTGTGTCACACTGCATGGCAACACTCTGTGTCACACTGCATGGCAACACTCTGTGTGTGCAACGTCGACCGCCACGTCGCCAACTAAGTGAGGAGAATGTGCAGCAGCCCGGGCGGCGGCGAGGGGCAGAGTGCACGAAGCTTCTCCCGCTGCGCATCCACCGCACAAAAGGTCAAACGCCCTTCATGTTCCGCGTGTGTGAGGAATTACAGATCAGGGGATGCCATGTTCACATTTAAAACGAAATTACAACCCTTGCCTGAAGCCCGATTATCGGTATGACACCCGAGGGGGGTGTTTTCCCCTCACCGAGACTTTAATTATCCATTGTGCGGGGCGCGATCCGTTTATGTCGAAGGCTCCGACGTCAAGCGAATTTCTCGAACACTCCTCGGGATTCTTTCAGTGCGCGATTTGCGAGCGGATCGAGCTCCACGCGGTGGCGGCGGGGGGCTCGACGGGGACGTACGTTCGTAGTGCAGCTGGAAGCCCATCCCGGAGTGGCTGCTGTCCGTCGTGAAGAGCAGAAAGAGGTGGTTTCCGCTGCTGACGAGGAAGAGTGGCACCTGCGTGCCGTGGAACGCGCCGAGCACCGGGGAGTACGCCGAGCTGCCGTCGTGCACCTCCAGCACATCGTAGTTGGGCTCAGTCTGGAACCTACAGCAGTGGTGTGTTATCAACTACAATAGTGGTGTGTTATCAACTACAGTAGTGGTGTGTTATCAACTACAGTAGTGGTGTGTTATCAACTACAGCAGTGGTGTGTTATCAACTACAGTAGTGGTGTGTTATCAACTACAGCAGTGGTGTGTTATCAACTACAGTAGTGGTGTGTTATCAACTACAGTAGTGGTGTGTTATCAACTACAGCAGTGGTGTGTTATCAAGCAGTGGTGTGTTATCAACTACAGTAGTGGTGTGTTATCAACTACAGTAGTGGTGTGTTATCAACTACAGTAGTGGTGTGTTATCAACTACAGTAGTGGCGTGTTATCAACTACAGTAGTGGTGTGTTATCAACTACAGCAGTGGCGTGTTATCAACTACAGCAGTGGTGTGTTATCAACTACAGTAGTGGTGTGTTATCAACTACAGTAGTGGTGTGTTATCAACTACAGTAGTGGTGTGTTATCAACTACAGCAGTGGTGTGTTATCAACTACAGTAGTGGTGTGTTATCAACTACAGTAGTGGCGTGTTATCAACTACAGTAGTGGTGTGTTATCAACTACAGTAGTGGTGTGTTATCAACTACATCAGTGGTGTGTTATCAACTACAACAGTGGTGTGTTATCAACTACAGCAGTGGTGTGTTATCAACTACATCAGTGGCGTGTTATCAACTACAACAGTGGTGTGTTATCAACTACAGTAGTGGTGTGTTATCAACTACAGCAGTGGTGTGTTATCAACTACATCAGTGGTGTGTTATCAACTACATCAGTGGTGTGTTATCAACTACAACAGTGGTGTGTTATCAACTACAGCAGTGGTGTGTTATCAACTACAGTAGTGGTGTGTTATCAACTACAGTGGTGGTGTGTTATCAACTACAGTAGTGGTGTGTTATCAACTACAGCAGTGGTGTGTTATCAACTACAGTAGTGGTGTGTTATCAACTACAGTAGTGGCGTGTTATCAACTACAGTAGTGGTGTGTTATCAACTACAGTAGTGGTGTGTTATCAACTACATCAGTGGTGTGTTGTCAACTACAACAGTGGTGTGTTATCAACTACAGCAGTGGTGTGTTATCAACTACATCAGTGGCGTGTTATCAACTACAACAGTGGTGTGTTATCAACTACAGTAGTGGTGTGTTATCAACTACAGCAGTGGTGTGTTATCAACTACATCAGTGGCGTGTTATCAACTACAGCAGTGGCGTGTTATAAACTACAGTAGTGGTGTGTTATCAACTACATCAGTGGTGTGTTATCAACTACAACAGTGGTGTGTTATCAACTACAGCAGTGGTGTGTTATCAACTACATCAGTGGCGTGTTATCAACTACAACAGTGGTGTGTTATCAACTACAGTAGTGGTGTGTTATCAACTACAGCAGTGGTGTGTTATCAACTACATCAGTGGTGAGTTATCAACTACATCAGTGGTGTGTTATCAACTACAACAGTGGTGTGTTATCAACTACAGCAGTGGTGTGTTATCAACTACAGTAGTGGTGTGTTATCAACTACAGTGGTGGTGTGTTATCAACTACAGTAGTGGTGTGTTATCAACTACAGCAGTGGTGTGTTATCAACTACAGTAGTGGTGTGTTATCAACTACAGTAGTGGCGTGTTATCAACTACAGTAGTGGTGTGTTATCAACTACAGTAGTGGTGTGTTATCAACTACATCAGTGGTGTGTTATCAACTACAACAGTGGTGTGTTATCAACTACAGCAGTGGTGTGTTATCAACTACATCAGTGGCGTGTTATCAACTACAACAGTGGTGTGTTATCAACTACAGTAGTGGTGTGTTATCAACTACAGCAGTGGTGTGTTATCACCTACATCAGTGGCGTGTTATCAACTACAGCAGTGGCGTGTTATCAACTACAGTAGTGGTGTGTTATCAACTACAGCAGTGGTGTGTTATCAACTACAGTAGTGGTGTGTTATCAACTACAGCAGTGGTGTGTTATCAACTACAGTAGTGGTGTGTTATCAACTACATCAGTGGTGTGTTAACTACATCAGTGGTGTGTTATCAACTACAACAGTGGTGTGTTATCAACTACAGCAGTGGTGTGTTATCAACTACATCAGTGGCGTGTTATCAACTACAACAGTGGTGTGTTATCAACTACAGTAGTGGTGTGTTATCAACTACAGCAGTGGTGTGTTATCAACTACATCAGTGGTGTGTTATCAACTACATCAGTGGTGTGTTATCAACTACAGCAGTGGTGTGTTATCAACTACAGTAGTGGTGTGTTATCAACTACAGTAGTGGTGTGTTATCAACTACAGTAGTGGTGTGTTATCAACTACAGTAGTGGTGTGTTATCAACTACATCAGTGGTGTGTTATCAACTACAGCAGTGGCGTGTTATCAACTACAGTAGTGGTGTGTTATCAACTACAGCAGTGGTGTGTTATCAACTACAGCAGTGGTGTGTTATCAACTACAGTAGTGGTGTGTTATCAACTACATCAATGGTGTGTTATCAACTACATCAATGGTGTGTTATCAACTACAGCAGTGGTGTGTTATCAACTACAGCAGTGGTGTGTTATCAACTACAGTAGTGGTGTGTTATCAACTACAGCAGTGGTGTGTTATCAACTACAGTAGTGGTGTGTTATCAACTACAGCAGTGGTGTGTTATCAACTACAACAGTGGTGTGTTATCAACTACAGCAGTGGTGTGTTATCAACTACAGTAGTGGTGTGTTATCAACTACATCAGTGGTGTGTTATCAACTACAGTAGTGGTGTGTTATCAACTACATCAGTGGTGTGTTATCAACTACAGTAGTGGCGTGTTATCAACTACAGCAGTGGTGTGTTATCAACTACAGTAGTGGCGTGTTATCAACTACAGCAGTGGTGTGTTATCAACTACATCAATGGTGTGTTATCAAGCAGTGGTGTGTTATCAACTACATCAATGGTGTGTTATCAACTACAGCAGTGGTGTGTTATCAACTACAGCAGTGGTGTGTTATCAACTATAGCAGTGGTGTGTTATCAACTACAGTAGTGGTGTGTTATCAACTACAGTAGTGGTGTGTTATCAACTACAGCAGTGGTGTGTTATCAACTACAGTAGTGGTGTGTTATCAACTACTGTAGTGGTGTGTTATCAACTACAGCAGTGGTGTGTGTTTAATGTGCAATTTTATTGAGGGCCTGTGTGTTGCCTTGTTGTGGTCTGAGACTGTTTTTGTTGTTGTTTTGCTGCCTTGCCCAAGCTTTAGAATTGTATGTACGTATGTTGAGCTTCTCTCGCACCGTACGTAGCCAACCGTGCTTGTTGGAGGTACGGCGTACTTGTGCAATTTCAACTTATATACTTTATCTATGTTACGTATTTATTTTTAGTGATTTGTTTACCTTTCCTATATTTTGCACTCCTATCGTGTTTTTTTGTATGGTTTGTTGTAACTTTCTGACTGACCCCCCTACTGGACATCTGTGAAAAAAAAGCTTTGTAGCTCATCGGATTCCCCCAGGATAAATAAAGATTCTGATTGTGATTGTGAACTACAGTATATCATTAAGCTAAATAAATACACGAAACAAGTCACGTAGCAAGCAGTTCTAATTTCACTGGACCTCCTAAAGGCAAAGGTGGGTTCGTGTAAGGAGTCTGTAACCTGGCCCATGTTAACTCTTTACTCAGCAACACAACACCATTGCAATTGTCGAAGGTCTGCGTGTTTGGCCAATGCACATTCGCACTGACATTCAATGTCCGGGCAAAGTGAACCTGACACGCGATTGTGAGAGGCTGACACAAAGCGCGCCCCACCGCTTCTACGATCCACGCGAGTGAGCGAATATTACGACGAACAGCAGAATAGATAACCTTGTCCATCATTTTTAAAAATATATATCCTTTCAAACTTTTGTTTAGAGGCCCGCGAGGATTTGAGAATTTGGTCAAAAACACGGTGTGAAGGGCCACAGCGAGGATTCCTTCCTGCCACGTTGAGTTGTGGATGCGCTCTGTTGATGTCCTCACTGTACCACACAGAGCACCGCAACGTTGGCACCCACAACCTTGAAACGCAGCGAAAACGCCCGATTATCCGAGGGCGGGTCACTGTGCTCATTCGCGCGTTTAACCCGTGCGCCGGTTCTATCGCGAGCTGCATCACGCTCACTGAGGGTCACTGGCGGGGTGGCTCGCGGAGCCACAATCGTGTTGGCGGGTAAAACGAATGACCTCAAAGAAGCCATTCGCACACGCGACGACGCATTCCACGCCTTCACCTCCATTTTACGGAGCTGAACGACGAATGCCACGTCATTTTAATTCGTGCAAGTTTTGCACTATCCGCGATTTTGGCTTTGCCCAGGCCATCCGCCTCCCCCGACTTACCCTGCACAATAGAGAGTTGACTCCGATATGAATGACCCTGAGTTGTGCTGCCTGAGCATGAGGACCGATTCAAATGACCTCTCTGGTGTGCCTCCACGAGCAACCCAATGTACGTGTTTTGGTGATTTGTTTACCTTTCTAGTATTTTGCACTGCTATCGTGTTTTTGTGCTGTTGTAACGTTTTTACCCCGTGCCTCTACTGGACATCTGTGAAAAGGCGCTTTATAGCTCATCGGGTTTCTCCAGGATAAATACAGATTCTGATTTGGAAACTATTAAACTATTTTTTTTTATTTTACCAGCTAAAGCCCACTGAGCTATGTAGCTCTTTTCAGAAGCGAGCTGGCTATCACAAAAGATAGCTCAAGGAAGTGGCTTATCGTTGGGTGGAAATGTATTGCAGCCAAATGCTCTAAACGCATGTTCTTTCTAAATGTGGAGGGAAAAACTGGGGGACTCGCAGAAAAATTCACGCGACCACGGGGAGAGAGACACACAAACTCCAAATATAGAGGCGTCAGAGTCGGGATCGAACCCACGACCTCCTGTATACCAGGGGAGGTAGTTAACATCACGCCTGAGGCCTTGGCCTGCTTGGTATGACGTCTACTACCCAATGCACTTCATGTTTTACCAAACCCTAATTTAACACGTAGGTTCATTTAAATATGTATTACGAGAACTTGTGATGTTTCACAATTTAAAACCAGCATGAAAGGATAACAAAAAACTGTGCCAAAAGGATGTGTAAAGCAAAGGGCTCGGAAGACGCTCGCCCCTTCCTCTGCCATCCTTATAGCGTGTTGGTACACTTCAGATTGGAAAAATATAAATTATTTACGTTATAAATCAAGCTGACAGAAGGAAATGGGGTGTTATTATCATTTTGGAAGAAGCATCCACGGAGCCCGAAGAATGTTTCACACCAAAAAAAGTGTTGCCTAAATCGTCTCCATTCCATTTGAAGTTTACGGCTTACGTTAAAATCTAACGCATTCAAAGAATGCACGCGATCGCACCACGTGACGGCGCAGGGCAACGTTCCTGTGCTGACGAAGGGGCTGAAACACACTTCGTGGCGAGTGTCCCCGTTGCTGATAGTAAGGCGGAACATTTCTCATCACGAATCTGAACGAAGAAAAAACATTACCGACAAAAGAAAAATGGCCCTAAAAGAGTCCGGTGCATTCTTGCGCTGGTAAAGTAAATTAAACCACACTGTTACACATTACTTGTGAAATAAAAATCTGCAAAGGGCATACGCATATACAGCATTGCATTAAAACTTTCAATTATACATGGCCTTGGGAATAGAAAAAAAATGGGATTAATAATGACTAAACGTTATACTGGATATAAAAATGGAATGGACTTACCTCTGGAATGTAATTTTTATGGCATTCCCTTTGTTCACCTCTATGACCCATTCACAAGTGAGGGAGTCCTTGTAGGAGCTCGGCCATCCGGGGGAAAAGATGGTGCCACTGGGCGCCGTCAGATGACTTCCGCAGGGAGCTGGAATAATGATTCACGTCAAGAGCTTTAGCACGCCACTCACGGCAATATCTCAACAGCAAAATGTTGTCCCTTCACCTTCAATCATCGCCTTGGCATTTTATTTAAATAACCTCACACCAATATCAGAAATAAGGCTACGCACATAAATCACTGTCTATGATTTACAAAGAAGCATTCATTCTTATTATTTTCCCCCCCTCCCATTGTTGAATTATTTAAAGTCCCATGGATGAGAAGTTTCAAATGAATTCATGCGCTTCCACTTTTGTTGAATAAAAAAAATCACCTCTATCTGAAATACAGGATGAATCCATTGACATCTCGATCCTATTTTATACCAGAAAGACGTTATGCAATCAAAGCATACCACATTGCATTCGTGAACAAACCGCTGTTAATTTACAGTATATTATCAACAGCTGCTTATAAATAAACATTTAATTTAGAATAGATAACATGAGAGTTGACAACAAAATGCCTGTACAATAAAATCACTTGCCATGCCAGCGGCATCATGCTGCTGAAACACGCGGCCATTATTTATGTACACGGCTTCCAAAAATAAATTCAGAATGTTATTATTTTTTTGTACGTGGCAATACACGGGAACTTTTCAGCGACTTCAATGCAATGTGTCGCAGAGGCCCCTCCAAAGTATGTCGGGCGTGATGGAATCTTGTCCCACCGATCGCAGCGCCTCCACGCGGAACCGCAAACACCGATGGAGGTGGCTGCTAAGCGCGGCCTCGCGCGCACAATGACACGGCACGGACACGCACAACGACACGGCACGGACGCACACAACGACACGGCACGGACGGACTTGACGGGAGACGCCGTACAGGGGACACGACGGGCGCGCATCACAGGGGGCCGCCGAGAGGGAGACAGCATCGTTGTTGTGTAACGCGATTGCCGAGTCGCTAAACGCTTCAAGTGCGGCTACGTAACGTGACAAAGTTGCGATATAATGGTTTTAAAATATCTATTAAAGATATACCGTAACAACTTTAACTTAAGCCTTGACATATTTCATGTAGTCGTTATATATTGTGTTATGCATATAGTGTATTGTAAGAGTCAACTATCCAGTTTAACAGACGATTAACAGGAGAGATGACAATTTACAAATGCAAAATGTGTTTCTTACTTGCGAAGAACGGTTACATGAGAACAATAACTATGTGCTGAAGAAAACTCTGAAGAGTGTGAATGTTTTATAAGGGGCCGACAATGCACAAGGAGCGCTCTTTATGACACCTTCAAGGACATGCAGATGCTGTACATGAAGAGACATCTCATAAAGAGTTACCTACATATGAGACTTCCAGATTGAGTTAAAACTCAATAGTTATTTACAGACTGGAAATATTACGAGGGTCAAGATAATTCTACAGAGATGCTCAATTATCTTTTCGCAAACGAAGTCCTGAGATTAGCGCTGCTTCCAAAGTCCTCGTGTTTAAACGCCACATTGAGCGCCGTGCTTTTTTTACCCAGCAGGATTTGCATAAAAACTTTCACTTCAAATTGCTCTTTTTAACCCTTTGAATTGGCCGCACAGGAATCGTAGACATCAAGAGCCCGTTACGAGAGGAAGCGTAAATGTCGAGTGATGAGTCCTTCTCCAAAAGTCAGCCTTCCCAAATGGCAAGCGGGCGAATCGCCCTTTAAGTCACTTCGAACATCGTGGTAATCCCAAATGGCAAGCGGGCGAATCGCCCTTTAAGTCACTTCGAACATTGTGGTAATAAACGTAAAAATTAGGAAGTCACAGACATTTTGACGTGGAACCCAACAACTTGGTTTACGAGCATTTTTTGTTTGATCAGAAAAAGTCCCCGTTTACAATTAATTCAGGATTAATTTACGGTCCGCAATGGAAATCCTCTCGGCGACAGAGGAGGGCCGTAGAGAATGCAATTTTGAAAATAAGGCGAGAACTCCATTCCAGCACGACTCTCAGTTTCACATCCGTATGCCGGTCTCTGATTTCGAGCATGTAAATGTGACATTCGCACATTAGGGAAGGAGGAATTTTGGTGAAAGCCAAGTGTCTAACGAAGCACAAAATTACCTTCACACTTGGGTATGGTTGAGCTCCAGTGTATATTCCCGTCCTGCAGCACACAGGTGATGCTCTCGTAGCCCTGTGTCCGCATGAATCCGTTCTCGCACACAAAGAAGACGGACTTGCCAAGTGTAAAGCTGTCTCCAAAACGGCGGCTGTTGATGGGGATTCCAGGGTCGTGGCATTCGTTGTAACCAAAGGCTGCAGTGAATCAAATGTGAAGCATTCCAGGAGGAACAAAGAAAAAACAGCAGATTTATCTCCGTTTGTATTCATATTGAGATGTATTCATACACGATAATGGTCATATATCAATGGTCATATCAATTGAAATGTAACTGTAAAAAAGACAGCTAAAAACAAAGTCAACTCCGTATTATTCGGGGTGATTGGGGGACATTTTGCCCATATACAATAAAAACACAAACAATGCAAAACATAAGTACGATAGGATTTAAGCGTTCACTCATCATTGTTTAACATTATTGTTTGCCGACGTTTCGTGTGTGTGTAGACGTAAAGTGTGTCGGTTTTTAATGTTTCTTAAAGTAATCGGTTTACTCGAGGACATTTGTGATCTCCTGAGTACAAGCGAGGAGCAGTTAATAATTAAACCAGTCACTTAAAGATATCACTTTTTTTCCCCAAAAACGGTGAATCAACAACCTGGTTAATCCCTCCATGGATAACTGGGGGTTAGCCGTAAAATGTTACGTTACATCAATACAGTGCGTAGAACGTAAGTACACACTGGGAGTCTTAAATCACGAGCAAGGGGTCGTTTTAAATAATGTCAAAGTATCACCCTTTCCAAATGCCAAGAGCGAAAATTCTAACGGGGCCTTTAAATCACCCATGAATGGGCCCACAATCCCAACGTTGCTGCCGTCACCATCAGTAGCGATCGATCCGTCCCACCTGCTGGAATAAAAGCCTCCACCCGATCCACGCAACAGCCTCACGATCCCCGCAATGCAACAGTTCCACCTTGCAACATCGGTGGGGGGACGAGCTCATTTAATTGTTCCAGCTCGTCGGCGGACTGCCCCAACCACCCCCCCTCCCACCAGCGGGCACGCTTCACCTCTCTCAGTTCCCCAGCCGTTAACCGTTGCCCACAGGGCAGCGTCGCTTCGAGCGATGGGGGTACTGCCCCAGGCTACTGATGTTTTTTTCTGACCGTTCACTAAGCCAGTGGCTCTGAACCCCTCTTTTTTGGCTATTGTGACCCCCTTTGTTGAATTTTGTTTCTACCGAGTACCGCCCCCCTGACTCCGCCTTGCCTGACCCAACATGGTGTGAATTGTGAGTGCGACTGCATTAACCGATGCACTCGCCCGTATTCTTATACAAAGTAAATGCCAGCAACAAAAAAAAATGTTACCGCACTTACTTCATAATTAGAAAATGCTCAAGGTTCTTAATGTTTTGAGATTTCTATAAATGTGTCGGTTGGGAAATATATGTACTTCGTATATCTCCTGAAGGGCCACACATTTTAAAATACTGTAACCGCTATTCATTATGGAGGCACTTTCACATTTTCATGCAGCGGCTTGAATAATGTGGCTCTTGGAAATGTAATACCCACCAACGTGTGTGTGTGCGCGCGTGTGTGCAATGCTACGTCCGGACGTGGAAATGTACTGCCAGTGAAATTAAGCCACAAGCTGCGTAGCTCATTACGTTATCTCACGTATGTAAATAAAACGCAGTGCGAAACAATGCATTCCTAATGCTTGGTGTGACTCAAGCCGCTCGGTGACCGCATTACAAATCGCCACTGGCGGCTGAATTGAGAAAGAAGCAACAGTGGGTAGTTGGAAGTGAAGAGGGTTGCTATTTTTTTATCTTGGCCACTGTGGGGTGCTTGGTCAGTTTGGTTTCAGAATAGCAGCCCCCGCCCGACGATGGTGCATACGATAGCGATCCAATTAAGATTGGGTCCCATCGTGATTGGCCAATCCGGTTGTGTCCTATCGGCCAGTCAGCAAAGGCAGGCCTTGCTAAGTTTTCTCACTGGTTGTTTTGTGTTATTTAAGCTTGTTGACTCCAGGAAAGCTCCACCGAATCTCAAGACCTCACTTTTTTCAAGATATTCCTGCCAACTTTTCGCAGCAGGTAGCCGATGATTGCTATGTACCCTAGTTCCCTGTTTAAGTGACATCGGTTAACGTCTTTTCGGTTAATGCTTTTTTCGGTTAATGTTTCGCCTCCCAAAGGACCCCACGGTTTCGACTTAACGTTAACACTCTGATGAACGCTCACGTGTTTACGTTATTCACGCGGGCGCCGAATTTCGGCCAATCCGAGCGCACCGGAAGTGGGGTTGAGCCACGCCCTCAGCCAATCAGTGACTCCCATTTATGAGCGTTTAGATCTCGACTGGCTTTGTTTACATTATAACGTCTTCTGTTATGGCAGTGGAAACAGCTCTCTTGCACACTCATGTAATTCCTATATTCGATTAACAATCATTTCGGTTCACAGTAGTTTTCGTGGAACAGATTAAAAACTTTATCCGAAGGACTGCTGTTTAACAATATTTAAATTGCATAATTTCACTGTTCATTTGACAAATTTCGGAAAATTGGGACGACGACCCCGGTACGCACGATTGACCCCGGTACAACTGACGCTGGCACTATTGACCCCGGTATGCACGATTGCCGTGCGTGTCTCAAGAGCCAAACTGTGGGGGGGACGCTACAATGCGAGCCGCTATCCTGCACCTTGGAAACGGTTTCGCCTCGTTCCACGCGAGGGTGTGCGCAACATCACCGCAAGTGCTCTTCATTGACATTTGTGATGAAACTTGAACAGCTAGCAGAGTTTGTCCCACCAAAAAAAATCAAGCTGCCACATTCACGTCTAGCCAATAATCGCCAGCCGGTGTCGTAAGTGGCGCTGCTGCTGGAGTGGGCAGCAACAATGTCGGTGACGTTCGCTTGTGGTAGATTCATGGCCAGTGATGGTGTGCCATGCAGGAGGGTGGAGAATATCCCAGAGGCAACGTGTCAGCATATAAAGTGTGGTCTACAAGTATCACCATACATAGTGTGGTCTACAAGTATCACCATACAAAGTGTGGTCTACAAGTATCACCATACATAGTGTGGTCTACAAGTAGAGGGACATTCATGCACTGCACCCGGGGCCTCGGTCAACCTCCCATTGTATCCATACCAAATGGAAATGACACTGGTACAGTCATGAACTAGATAGTGCAAAAACCATGTGACATCATATAGGAGCCAAAAGGACATTGCTTTCACACCCCAAAGTGATCAGTACATGGCTCCGATTGCCAGCCATGCAAATGAAGGTGCTTGTGGGTGCCACGGTGGCGAGATGTTAACTACCCGGCCTGGTATGCAGGAGGTTGTGTGTTTGATCCCGACCCTGATGCCTGCATATTTGGAGTTTACATGTTCTCCCAATGGTCGCGTGGATTTGCCTTCGGGCCTGTGGTTTTTCCCTCCACATTTCGAATCAACGCGTGTTTTGAGTATTAGGCTGCTCTATATTTCAACCTGATGATAAGTAACATCGTGGAGCTATCATTTGTGATAGCTAGGTTGCGTCTGAATCTTTTTTTTTATATATATAGCCCAATGGGCCTTACCTTGTAAAAAAAGTCATACTTGATTTGTAAATGTTATGGGTTTACTCTCCAACACACAGGTGTGCTGAACTAGTAATGAATTGAGCAAGTTTTTTTTTACGTGACAAACCTTACTAATTGGCTGTGTTGGGTTGTGGTGGGTTTAACAACACAATTATATGTCCGCAATCTAACCCAAAAAAGAAAATCTATAATGTAAAATCAAACAGTTAAAATAACTTGACAGGTCATGAGCAAAGAGGAAGAGGGGGTCCCGACAAAGACTGAGCACATGAGGGATCAAACTCACTGTTGTAGGTGATGTTGAAGCCACGGCCGGACATGGAGTGGTCCGTGTGGAACTCGAGGCGTGCGACGTGCCCGCTGCTGGACAGGTGCGTCGGGACGGCGCTCCCCGTGAACGTGCCCAGGATGTCGCCCTCCTCCTCCTCGCCATCGCGGACGGTCAAGAAGTCGAACGGGGTCTCCACGTCGAAGTCGTTGAACGTGATGTGGACGCGGCTGTTGGGCTCGGTGATGATGAGCCAGACGCAGTTGAGGTGTCCACCGTAACCATCCGGGTAGTTGGGGGAAAGTACGATGCCAACCGGTGCGGTGTAGTTGAAGAAGCACGAAACTGAAAGGTGAGAAATGGAGTAGTGGATTTCATAGGTCACCTACACAATCCTTGACCTGCGTACAGGATTAAAATAAACAAAGTATAATATATTCTTAGTTCTTTCGGTAAAGTCACGTTGAAGGGAAACAATAAAATAATAAAATATATATAAAACAATAAAAAATTCTCACGACGTTTCGACCATAACACAAACGGTCGTCATCAGGTGTGTCGAAACGTCGTGAGAATTTTTATTGTTTTATATATATTTTATTATTTTATTGTTTCCCTTCAACGTGACTTTACCGAAATAACTAATAATATGAATTACTGCAGTCACGAAAGCTTTAAATCAAAAGTATAATATGTCTAAATTTTGATTTAAAGCTTTCGTGACTGCAGTAATTCATATTCTTAGCTCTTTCGGTAAAGTCACGTTGAAGGGAAACAATAAAATAAAAAAAAATATATAAAACACACCTGATGACAACCGTTTGTGTTATGGTCGAAACGTGAGAATTTTTATTGTTTTATATATTTTTTATTATTTTATTGTTTCCCTTCAACGTGACTTTACCGAAAGAGCTAAGAATATAATGTCTACTTAAAATAAAATAAAAACTTAACACATTCGTGTGCGTGCAAGTTAAAAAATATATATCACAGGTGACGTTTCAGGCAATTGCGCTTCTACGTTGCACGTCAATAGAGGCCAGAGAGAGACCGCGGATTAGAGTTGGAGGCTGCACTTAACACCACAGGTCCCTATAAGAATCACTGTTAAAAATACTTCAAATACAGTGGGCATTTGGAATCGACCGCAAAGTTAACTTGAAACGTACATATGCACTTGGGCATGTTGGCTGTCCATTGGTTATTGCTCTGACAGGCAATGCTCTTCTCTCCCACCAGCTCAAACGCCGGGTGGCACTCGAACGTCAGCCGGTCGCCGTGCACAAAGGACGAGCCCTCTCGTCGCCCGTAGGCCGGAGTTCCGGGGTCTCCACAGGTGCCCTTCTCAATTTCTGCAAAGCAAACGAGAGTTTCACCCCTGAAACAACCGCTCAAACAAGTTTCCCCCGCACCTCCCATTTGCACGGTTGGCTACGTACGGTGCGAAGGAAGATTACCTTCAAGAACCTGTTCATAATCATTCCTGCATTCGTTGCACAATGAGAGCAATGTGCGCATCACAATGCAGCAATTTTTGAGTTTCACCTGCTACCAATTCCTCCCTCAAGTTCTCTGTCTCTCACTGGCAGCAAAAGTCATGAATATCTCACACTTGCCACCTCACCTTGATACTTGGGCTCAATTAATTTTATTTTTTGGTTTACCTAGAAAAGCCTGGCTGAGTCCAGCCTCATTTCAGAGGAGGCTCTTGCCAAGTTTTCACCGGAAGAGATGTTGCTGTGTGTAATGCCGATTGAGTATTTCACAGGTGAGGTTTTTTTTTTCCCAAACATCGTTAACGTCGTGTGTTTGTTTCTGCTGTGGGAGTAAACCCATGTGGAACACGGGGAGAGAAAGGCACCCAATTCGAGAATCAAGTCCAGGCCCTTCTTGCCGCGAGGCACACGTGTTACCACTACGCTGCCACCCTCTCGCTAATATATGCACATCTGTAATTAATTATTCCAGCACTTTGTTGTTGTACCAAGCGCTATAAAGTGGTGCACATTGAGACTCGGGCACTGATAGCAGTTCGCTAGGAAGATGCCACATTGACTGTACAGCGGTAATCCAAGTCCCCTTTCAGGCCATGTATGTAACATAGTACATACATGTCCTCAAAAAATGTTGAAGGTAACATGAAGTTGCGAATCTCAAAAAGAGTTGGTTAGCGTGTACCATTGTACAAGTTATTTTAACGGCTAATATTAAGTTGAAACAAATGACGAATGAACAATTTTATTTTGCCAGGTAAGGCCCACTGAGCGTTACAGCTCTCTTTCCGAAGTGACTTCGCTACAAATGATAGCTCAACAAAGTGGGTTTATCATCACGTGAAAATTTATAGCAGCCAAATTCTAGAAACGCATATTTCTAAATGCGGATGGAAAAACAGGAGGCCCCAAAGACAAATCCACGCGACCACGGGGACAGAGAGGACATGCAAACTCCAAATATGAAGGCGTAAAGGTTGAGATTTGAACCCACGTCCTCCTGTATACCAGGAGAGGGAGATAACATCTCACCACCGAGAATACTGTCTGGACATGAGAATGCAATTTGTTCTGAAATGTCAACATCCAGACGTACAGTGAACAACGGGTAAAACATTCCCAATGTACTTACCTTGATAATTAATCTTAAAGCCCAGTGAGCCAATAGTTTCATCCGTCTGCAAATATATCCACAGGTGACCGCTAATGCTCACTATAAGGTCAGGTACTTCGCCTCCTGAAAGACTGGGATTGAACACAGAGACATAATGCACGTCGTTAACTCATAGAATAGTACCACACACACACACACACAAGTATACATTTCAATATTGTGTTTGGAACATTATTTATGCAGACAAGGATATGCAATTATACGTCGCGGAATCTCAAAGTGCCAAAGCGGCACTGTACGCATCGCACATTCGACAGCGTTTTTGAGAAGTAATTTGCAAGAAATGACACGGTATGAAAATAACACGTCTTATTGTTATTGGAAAAGTTTTTCATTTGTAATTGTGTACTCTGGACCATTCCACCTCAAGACCAAATGTGTGGATGTACCAACTTCAATTTTTTAAAGGTAAAGTTTTGACGTTGGTTGTAAATACTTTGCAGAGCGCGGCTCCGGTGAACGTTCATGCGTTGGCGAGGTCTTACACGTTGAGAACGGATCTGGGATCCCCCGGCTCATCTCCATCTCCGATGACCAACGAATCGTAACCTTTCTCCAAATCGAATTCTTCAAACTGGAGTTGGATAACCTGAGACAAGTAGGGCAGAAGGCGGAAACTTCAAGCACATCGAGTCGCACTGAAACCTCGGGAAACATAGAAATACTGTATTACGCTTGAAGTGTGCTTGCAGGTTACATTGGTTTGATATAGTTTAGCTTTGTGATATAGAGCCTGTTCTCCTATCACGCGTAGTTTTCATCACACAAATTGGATATAACGCGATGAATGTACGAGGGAACACATTTTTTTAACGCGGATGCGAATTGGATATAACGGGACTACGTCACACGAGTAGGACTAAGCGGTCGTACGGCTGCCTCGGTGTAGCATCGCACAAGGCGGGATGCTGCTGGATGCTTTTAGATGCTACCCATATGCCTCAGTCTTTGTTCGGCCAGCGCACGCGTCTCCCGTGTTATCGCGGACTGTGCTTCACCCTATTTTATTCATTATTTTTCCATAACGCGGTGAACGCAACTACTACCGCGTTATAGGAGAACAAGATTGTATTGTAAATCCTCGCGAAGCTGGGGAATTGGGGTAAGCTGGTCAGATTACTGAAATAAATAAATGATGAAAAATACCGGAGCAATATAAACAACAGAAATCTGACAACGCTCTCCCGCGCGTGGTAGGATATCGTATTGCGCATGTGCAGTGGCAGTATAACAAAGCTGCACAACTATCCGCCCCGCGGCCTTCGGTGAAACCGTGGTGCACTCAGAACACCACACTCGGGTCACGGGCCCTGCGTCGCCTGCGTATTTATTTTGCAATGGGGCAAACAGTTGCATGCGGGTCCTGGCGTGGCGCTCGATTGAGCGGGGAGCGGTAGCGCAACAGTCAGCGAGCCGCGCTACGAACCCGGCGACCCGAGTTAGATTCCTGCTCACGACCAACACCAGCGACGATTATCTGAATCGGTCCTGGGCCTTCCCTAGGTCGACTCAGCCTCAAATGAGTACCCGGTTTGGTGTGTAAACATCGCCACTGGGGAGACAAAAGCGGCCGGACGTGGTGTTGGGCCACCCACCCCCTCCCGTACCGTGCCGGCCTTCATAGGTGCTACTCGCCAACGGCACTTGCCCCAACAGTCTGCTGCAGGCTACACGGGGGATCTTTGCCTTTGGTCCTTCGACTGTGGTCCCAGGAGAGGTGGTGTGGCCCCCTTGTCAGGGGGCGGTGAAGATGCCCGAGGCTAGGCAGGGGGCGAGCCGCGCCACGTGCTCAGCAAATGTTGGGAGGTCTGCCCCGACTTGTCACGAGTGTGACCGCAATAACCGCCCAGAAAAGATGGTCCTCAAGGTCACGCTCTGTGATATCTACCACCGTGTGGAATTTAAATAATTGATCCAATATCAAAGTTGTTTGAGAACGTGCTGCCGGTATCATTTATTAAAACTAGCATTTGATTTTAAATGCATGGCACGCGCGTGTTATTTAAATCTAACCTACTCCAGTATCGGCGATCTAGCACAAAGCAACTGTTAAATAAATAAATGACAAGCTATCAAGTTGAGAGCTAATTAGCATTGATTACATAATTAACTGCCATTGTGGAAATAGAAACATCACAAATACCAGATGAGCATAAAATATTTACCTAGCCTCCAGTATGTCGCAAGTCACAAAGTCACACAACGTGTGACACAGCTGAAGTTGGTTAACGCAATCGTGGTAAACATTTTTTTCTGTAAACGCGTGCTGCGCTATTTAAACACAATAATTATTCCTTTAAACCATTTGAACGCGGGGAAATTATTTGGCCCCAATCCTTGAGCTGGCGGTGCAGCCACACGGTGTCAACCCGTGCTTGCGACGCAGCATCATGCCGTCAACGTAGGCCCCTTCATCGATCCACTGCTATCCTGTGGGTTTGGCAATATGTGGGGGGCTGGGGGGGGCCATCATAACAGCGATCCGCCGATAAGGAGAGTGAACTTTGGGTGGCGCCAAAAGGGACGAGCGGTGATGCCGACCCCCCACCCGGAGCCGGGCCCCCACCCCAATGGCACAAGAGACGTGGGAAGATACACGGCGCTGGGGGTGTGCTCGGACGGGCGACTTCCGTGAAACAAACCGGGTTGTCAGGCAAGGGGTGTGGTGTGCGGGTTACGGGTGCACAGGGCCAAACCGCACTGACCGGCGGCGTGGTACGGCGTGTGGTCAAATAACCCCAACGATCGTTTGAGCAGGACATGGGATTTGTGTTCACAGTGAAGAAGCCACAGGTACAGACAGGAATCCCCAATGAGAATGACAGCAACAGCAGCAAGTAGCAAGTTGCCTTGAGAGCTTAAGGCAGCGGTTCTTAACCAGAGCTGCACCACGCACCCCCTGGGGTGCGAGATATGGCCAGATTTTATTAGAAGGCAATTAATCGAAACACAAATTAAGTACAGGCACGTAAATTCAACTACTATGTATCATCAAACCAAGGCTGGCAGTAAAGGTGAAGAACCACGAGCTTAGGGGGATGCTTCGGGATGAGACAGGGACACTGGAGAGGATGGTCACGTCGAGGGGGTGGCCAGGGTGGGAAGGCAGCGAGGAATGAGTTTGGGTTGACAGAGCATCAAGGATGAAATGAAAAACACTCTCGTTAGGTTGCGGGTGATTGAAGTGACGTTTATAGTGACAGGCAGAGTGGCAGGCGGCAGCAGGACAAGGTAGCCGGGGGTGCGAAGTAAGACTTTAGGGTTGCCATTCCCGAGTTTGACTTTTTTTTTTCCAGAGACATCGGCGGGCGAGTTGTTCACATCCATTATATATATTTTTTGGGTTAGATCACGTAAATATAAACAAAACCTATACTATGGATGCTATTGGTCACGAAAGCCGACGTGTTAAACTGAGTTGTTCACACTGGGCAAACGGACGGAGTCGAGGAGGGAGGCCGAGGGCTGCTGTGGACGCAGCAGCGGGTTACAGGTGTAATGACAGGGTGCCACCTGTCGGCCTGGAAGGGTCATCACGGCTGTGGGCAAGGTGATGTAACAACTAATCAGAAGGGGGGGGGCGTATCTGGGTTAAAGGTAAAAGGTGGGGTTAGTCGGGAAGGTCCGGGAACCTGCTCGAAGGTTCTGGAAGGGGGCGTGGCCAGAGGCGGGGCGTGGCCAGAGGCGGGGCGTGGCCAGAGGCGGGGCCTGGCCACGCCGAGAGGTATATAAGGGGGATGGACCCGAGGGTTCCGGGTTGTTGTGGGGTCCCGTGTCCTGGCTGCGTCGCTGCTCGCCGTCATCTCTCTCCGTCGTCCGGCCGCATGGAAGATCCCATCGCCGTCATCGTCACGCCAGTCAGTCAGCTGTGTGGTTGGATGTAGGCGATGGGACTATGAAGGGAGCTTGGCTGTGCGTAGCTAGAGACGTATATATATTACCCAGTGTTGTGCCCAGTGAGAGGAGATGTGTGTGTGTGTATATATGTGTGTGTGTATATATATGTGTATAATGTGTGTGTGTATCGGCCTGTGTGTTGTGCCCAGTGTGAGAATAAATAAGAAGAAGCCCTCGACACGACGCGTCTTGGAAGTCGCTCACTACACAGGGACTGAGGCGGGGCGAGTTGGCCCGGCGTGGAGAGTTCCTCGGGATGTCAGCGATGATGGCGGCGGCATCTCCAGTGGTTGGGGAATGGTGGCGGAACAAATGGAGGCATTGGCGATGCCTGGTGGATCTCGGCAGCCAAGGGGTTTACGGGCAGCGAGCGCGTGTTGATGAGCTCCACATTGGCTACTGTGTTGCCTTGTAACATGGCAGAGGCAAACAAACATGACACTCCTGATTTATCTCAGCTGCTCTCATCATACAACCTTAGAGATTATTTTACTACCTAATTTAAGAGTGCAGAACCAGGATATATACTCTAATAGCCTCACGATGGTAAAAGTGCCGATACAACGAACTGCTCGACCCGAGGGCAGGTACCGCATTCAAGAGATGCCAAAGATGCGAGTCAGCTCCATGACTCACGACCCAAATCTCGTTGGGACCCCTGCTATGCCATGTGAACATCGCCCGCACTGGGAATTTAAGGACACAGACGGAAAATGATCTATATCGGTGCGTGTATGGTACTGCCCTGCATTACAGAACTCATTTCATATTAAATCGTCTCCGTTTATATCGCTGGATATTCTGGCACGTGTCACATTAGCACTGTCAGCCAGATTGGCATTTACCAATCAGCCTCAACAGATGTTGACTTGCCGTTGCCGCCGCTGCTGCTGCTGCTGCTACGACAGGCAGAACGCTTGACAGGCTGTGAGAGGTGTCAGCCAGTGCACCAAAGCAGGGGCCAGTGGATGCAATGCATCACTAATCGTGCGTGCCGCTGTGTCAAAGTTGGGCAACTCTTTTGAAATAAGAACCCCCCACCCCCCAAAAAATCGTACCTCTTAACTGAATAAATAAATACCATGGCATCCACACGTCAATCATTTGTAAGTGCAAGGTACATATGGATCAATATAATTTAGACCTGCCACATATTCACGTTTTATTACACCGCCTGCGTCTAACACTTTCCCTTAACTTGAAGCACTGCATTGCAACCGTTTGCCCGTGTTCCAATATTCACCAAGGGGAATACATGCACTTTTTAGGTGAAACTAAGGCAGACATTTCATGGATTAACCTGCTGAGAAGACAGGCAGCTGGACCACCTGTGCTCTCCACTGTGCCACCTTGCAGTGTTGCCCACTACCAACATACAAAGACAAAGATCCCCCGTATAGCTTTACCAGGCTGTTGGGGAAAATCCTGCAATCGAGCACCTAAGCAGGCCGGAACGGCACACAAGGGGGAGGGTGGCCAACACCACGCCCGGCCGCCTTTGTTTCCCCGGTGGTGATGTTTACATACCGCACCAGGTACTTATTTGAGGCTAAGTCGACCTAGGGGAGGCCCATGACCGGTTCAGACAATTGTCACTGGTGTTGGCCTTGAGCGGGAATCGAACTCGTCTCGTCAAGTTCTTAGCGCAGCACGCGAACCGCTACACCACCGCTCCGCGCTACATTCACGCAC